CCACAGTCGCAGTGTTCTTAATACGTTATAATATCGCCCAAGTTCAACTTACAATCTCACCATGACAATACGCAGTTTCGTCAAGTCACGACGATATAGGGAACAGTCACCATGAGTTTAAATACAATTCCGGTTGTAAATTCAAATTGAACGAAGAATAAGAGTCACGTCTGCTACTACATTTGCAAGCTAGGTGTCCATTCCCAAGTTGATATATTAGTAACGCGTTGCTTATATTCTGACAAAATACTTCAACACTGCCAACACCCTGTAACACCCAAACGTAACAGATCCGTATCTAAATACAACTTGATTAACCGATGATTGAGTGAGTTTGCTTTTTTACGCCGCTTTTAGCAATATTCCAGCAATATCAAGGCGGGGACACCAGAAATGGGCTTCACACATTATGCCCATGTGGGGAATCGAACCCGGGTCTTCGGCGTGACGAGCGAACGTTTTAACCACTAGGCTACCTCACCGCCCCAATTAACCGATGAAGCCCCATGTATGGAGATCATCATTATCCAATGAGTACATTCCATGCGAGTAACTCTAAGCCAAAATTTAACACATCTTAACAAGGAAGACAAATAAACTGGGAATCTGCTACATTCGCCCGTAGCTAAAACATTCGGAGCCCGTGTACTAAAGTTAAGAAACCGTTTAATCGCTAAATGTTGTATTCTCTCTATACACTCAAGACGCTGAAAGCCCAACTCGGAACTGTATAACATTGGCATAATCTGAGACTCAAATATTGTAAAGAGAGGTGAGGGTGAAATTTGGTTTAACGTCGTGCTTGAGAATATTTCGCTCATATGAAGACGTGCATGCGTGTGTATGTGTATGTGCGGCTGCTTGTACTAGCCCAGACTTAAGCTGGTTTTATAGTACTAACCAACTGAGATACCATGCCGCAGTGAAGCATGAATACCCCACTCAGACACATTATACTGACTCCGAGCCGACCAGTCCTTGTTGTACTCATTAATGCCGAGCGCCAGGCAGAGACCAACAAAATTACCATAATTTAACGTCTTTTTGGTATGACGCGGTCGGGGATCGAACCCGCGACCTTCCGCTCTCTCGGGCGGACGCTCTAACCACTACACCACGGTGGCGGTCAAATATTGTAAAGAAAACCTTATAGGTAAACTGCCCAGAAGAATACATCATTCTTAAAACTCAAAATAAGGCTTTCTTGGCCTTTATAGCAACAAAATTGCAGCTCTGCGAAAACCTTAATTGGCTTGTAAAGAACTAGACACAGATAGTTATATAGTTAGAAACTACAACCACATTATGTCCACCACTGCAGGTCCACCTTTCAAAACGTGATATTTTTCCACCATTTCTGAAAACCATTATTTTAGTTTTAGACATATTAAACGTCAAATCCCATGCTTCACAATAACTTTGGAGAATATCAAGAATGTTTATGTTGGTTTGTTTTTAACGCCGCACTATACTCCAGCAATATGAGGGGCGGTGGGGTAGCCTAGTGGTTAAAGCGTTGGCTCGTCACGCCGTAGACCCGGGTTCGATTAAAGCTTTTTAACGATTTTAGATGCATCATTACTGGCTGTGACACCTTGCTGATTGTGTGTCTTTCTAACACAACCGGACGCTGGTCACGCCGAAAGCTAAAAGCGGCGTAAAACCAAACTCAGTCAGTCAGTCAGTCCAGCAATATGACGGCGGCCTGAAAATATTTGAGTCTGGACCAGACAATCCAGTGATCAACATCATGAGAATCGACCTACAAATTGGAATACGATGGCATGTGTCAACCTTCAGCGAGCCTGACCACCCGATCCCGTTATAGTCACCTCGTATGACAAGTATTGGTTGTAGACTAACGCTTTGCCTCTGACTATATGTACCTGTGTCAGTATGACATGAACCCATTTGAATTGAGATGGGAAATTCTGAACCTGAGCACTTGCTTCATTTGAGGCTTTAGGGGAAAGAATGTGGTTCAAGGACTCCAGAAACAGACTAGTGAGTGAGTTTAGTTTTACGTCGCATGCAGCAATGTTCTTGCTATATGTCGGCGGTCTGTAAAATCGAGTCTGGACCAGACAATCCGATGATTAACAGCATGAGCATCGATCTGCGCAATTGGGAACCGATAAGTAGCATTGGTTGCTGAGACCACTTCTTTACAAGCAGACACAGAGAGCGGGATATCCCCACAGATGCCCTTATTTGGAAATATTGGTGATGACTTTAGTCTGATTTAAATACCTATCCCAGCAGTGCAAATATTTTTGGATTTCTGATTTCTGGATGGTATGACGACTGATCGAATGATGGATTCAATTTCTGTGTTTTGGAATGTGATATATTTAATCAAAAACAAAAAACAACAACAAATCAAATGTAATGTTAAAAACAAGCATTTGATTTATTTGATGACGTAAACTAAATTATCCCAATTTTGTTATTGCTATATTTTAGAAAACCACTTAGGTAAATATGTAAAAACAGTGCGGTGAACGTGTGTACATAGTATGAATGCAGCAATGGAGTTCCGTTCAGCGACGACCCTTCAGTCTTTTGGGGCAACCGAATTGAATGCAACACAATACTATTCCCTTGTTGTCCTCCATGTTTGGTCGTGAAGGTCGGGTTAGAATTGATCTTCAGTAAGCCATGCTTGTCGTAAGGGGCAACTAACGGGTAGTCAGGCTCGCTGACTGGGTTGACACATGTCATCGTATCCCAATTGCGTAGATCGATGTTCATGCAGTTGATCCCTGGATTGTCTGGTACACCGTCGGTTTTTTACAGACGGCCGCCATATAGCTGGAATATTGCTGAATACGGCGTAAAACTAAACTCACTCACTCCATGTCTGGTGGTATAGACCTACACCCGTGTAGGGACGGTGGGGTAGCGTAGTGGTTAAAACTTTCGATCGAAACGCCGAAGCCCCAGGTTTTCAAGCTACACCACGGCGGGGGACATCAGAAATGGGCTTCACACAATGTACCCATGTGGCCGGGGACTCGTCGAACCCGGGTCTTCGGCGTGACGACCGACCGCGTTATCCACTAGGCTATCCCACCGCCCCCCAATAAATAAATCCTTTCTTCTGTATCAATTAATGCAAGACTGACTGACTGAGTTGGGTTTTACGCCGCTTTTAGCAATATTCCAGCAACATCACGGCGGGGGACACCAGAAATGGGCTTCACACATTGTACCCATGTGGGGATTCGAACCCGGGTCTTCGGCGTCAATTAATGCAAGATGCTACGATGATGATTGATACTACACATTTGACAGGGGTGGAAATTTACCCCTCAACCTTTGGACTTCATGATCTACCTCAAATGTATCATAATTTCAAAGAAAAGAAAAACCGAGTTAACAATTAGTTGGTGTTTTGCTCCCGATGCATAAAACGTAAAACAATAAATGTTCACCATATCCTTATTATGTCAGTCCGAGGTACAGATAACTTTTTGGGTCATTGAGTTATGTACTCGCTTGTGTTCATATCAATTGGGTATCCTAATGTTCCTTTGAGTAACCAAATAAATTGTACCCACCTCACTCAAACACATTTGGGTATTTTGCCATCTTCCATTGATCGTACAAAATATAATAAAATATAAATGTTGGTTTACGTGTTTATCATATATTATATATTTGATCTGTAATATGAGAAACGATAAGAAAGACTGCAAGTTGCCTAGTTCATGTGCTGAAATAGTACCTCTCAATATACCTCAGTTATTTTATCTATTTTGTGAGTACGCATGTAAAATCAAATTTATTGAGCATTTACAAAACTTCAAGCGTACTTGTACGCAATAGCCTTAATAGAAATAGAGTTTTCACATAAATATTTGCGTAATTTACGCAGATACGCAGCTTATCTGTACCTCTGATTACGTCTGTGAGATATAGTCGGACACTGTTGCTATTTTGTCCTGTACTGGAAGAAACAAAATAAGAAGGGCAGACATGCAATCAACACTTATCTTTAAGTGACTCACTCGTCGCGCTGATAACCCGGGTCCGATTTCCCACATGTGTACAACATGTGAAGCCTATTTCTTGTGTCCACCGCCGTGATGTTGCTGGAATATTGCTAAAAGCGGCGTGAAACTAAACTCACTCTCTATCTTAAGGTCCCTATGGTCCCTAGTATGGTGATCTACCTTCAGTTGTTGGCGATCTATAGCAACTTTTTGTATTGTACTGTTTTTCATAGGTAAGGTATTTTAGATTTTCATACAATTTTTACAATTACATCTGTGATATTCTAGTTATTTTTTACTCTCCTTCGCCGACAGGTTTGTATAGTGATTTATTATGACATTATAACTTGTTAATTATAACGGTCACGATATGGCTGAAATATTGCCGATGTGACTTAAAATCTTAACGCACTCACTCACTCACTATTGATTGAAACTCTATTGGTTTGGGTTTTTATCACCATGTGTTTTCATGAATCAGAACTGTGTTCTGAGATTTACTCAATCTCTGTGCAATATATGTTAGACCAGTTTGCCCTGTGGATTGAGTGTTAGTCACAGCCTGTCATGGATCAGACGAGCTACAAACACGATTTGCACGTCCTCAGTATTTTGTGAAAGAGAACAATACATGTACATGTATGTTGAAAAAATATATGTTTTCAGATTGGTTCTCAGGAATAAACGATGATATATTTCCTGATTTATAATATTACATTAAGGACGATCGTTCGATCGACTTCTCGTCATTTCACATTCAAAAGATAAAACGTACAGTGACGAGGTACACTGGTGGAAAACTGACTGACTGACTGAGTTTGGTTTTACGCCGCTTTTAGCAATATTCCAGCAACATCACGGCGGGGACACCAGAAATGGGCTTCACACATTGTGCCAATGTGGGGATTCGAACCCGGTCTTCGGCGTGACGAGCCAACGCTTTACCAACTAGGCTACCCCACCGCCCCTCTATGAAGTTTGAACAGAAAAGAACAAAATAGTACCAAAATATATTTATTATTATTTTTGTCTAGAAACATCTCTGATATACAGGTACAAATGAATAGGCATGGAATGGCTTGTCATACATGAAAAATTCAAGTATGTCATAAAATCCATATTCCCATTCCAATGGGTTTTGTGAGATTCGAAAATAATAGAGATATAGTTTTAATTCGCTAAAGGGTTTTTTTTTTACAATGTACAGGCTTTTATGTGACTATACTTTATCTGCAAAGGTCTTGAACAAAACTTAATACTTTCTTTAACTTCGTTGTGTAGCATATCTAATTTTCACTGAGAAGACACTATTTGTTACAGTAGTGAATGTTTTTTATAGTAAAATTGGAGTTTTTGGTACAATATTACCAAGTGTAGATAAAAATGAATATGCGAAATAGTATAAAGAACTTGATTAATATAAACATCAACATAGAAAATACAATTGCATTCAATATGAGCGGAGAGAAAGTAGGACGTCAAGTCTTGGTAAACATTAAGAATAACGTAATGCCAGCTCGTGGTCTTCTTGCAGGTGACGTAAAGAGACGAGCGATGACGTCATGATGACATCACAATGACGTCATGATGACATCACAATGACGTCATGATGACATCACAATGACGACATGATGACATCACAATGATTTACAGATCAGACAGTCGGGTTGTGTTAGAGTGAGTGTATGAATATGGTTTTACGCCGCTTTCAGCAATATTCCAGCAACATCTCGGGACACCAGAAAAGGGCTTCACACATTGTACCCATGTGGGGAATCGAACCCGGGCCTTCGGCGTGACGAGCGTCCGGTTGTGTTAGAAACACACACAATCAGCAAGGTGTCACAGCCAGTAATGATGCACCTAACATCGTTAAAAAAGCTTGATGCTAAATAATATTCGGATAATGAAAGCTGCTATGTTGCTATGGTGACAGCGTCTCATTTACAGGTTTAAGATCCTGTAGTTGAGGACTGGGTGGAATGCTGCGTCACCTGTTATGTTCTGAAATATAGAACAACTTGCATAGAACTGTGATAGAAACTTACGTATGATTTCAGTGTGACTGACTGACTGACTGAGTTTAGTTTTACGCCGCACTCAGCAATATTCCAGCTTAATGGCTGCGGTCTGTAAATAATCGAGCCTGGACCAGACAATCCAGTGATCAACAGCAGGAGCATCGATCTGCGCAATTGGGAATCGATGCCATGTGTCAACCATGTCAGCAACCCTGACCACGTGATCCCGTTAGTCGATTTCCTGTGAAAATTACAAAACAACTTTTGTGAAGTATTGAATAACCTGCATGGAACAATTAAGATGAAGTTTTGTAAAACGTTATTTGTTTCAGAAAATCACAAGAAAAAGATGTTATCGGGTTCTATCCTAAAAAAAAAAAATCAAAAAGTTTCAACCATACACAGAAAAAACATAACATTTGGAAAGTGTAAACGGACACAGCAATGGTAGACACTCGGATAAATACATTTTATCAACTGTCATGCATTAAGTGATAAAAAGTGAAATCTAGGAACATTGTCAAGATTACCTGTTTACAGAAGGCGGGAGGGGTGAAGACAGAAGGGTCTTTGATCCCCAGGGTAATGTCGAAGTACTGCATCGACATGACCGTCTTGACTGTAACCATGGAGAAAAGAAACAATTGCTATAGTTACAATAAACTATAAAAGAATGTTTATAGTTAGTGAAAATATTCTTCTATCATGTCATCATCTTATGGGGTGATGTTAATCACCATAGGCGGATCCAGATGGGGGGTGCAGGGTGGGCATCCCCCCTCCCCCTTTTGTCCTGAACGTTTATTAAATAACCATTGAATTTCTCGTGAAAACGGGTGAAAATTAACTGTGCACCCCCTTTCTGAACTGTGCACCCCCTTTCTGAACTGTGCACCCCCTTTCTCAAAAAGCTGTATCCACCCCTGATCACTGGATTGCCTGGTGCAAAAGGGAATATGTACAGACCGCGGTCATTCAGCTGGAATATTACGGTACGTGACGCAACACACGTACTGAAAAGTCGTTGGTATCAATTGTGTATATCGATTGCATAGGTCATTTCTCATGATGTCATGATGATGTAAACTTGACCTTGAAAGGCCACCACAATATAGCTGGAATATTGCCGATAGCGGCGTTTAACAACAACACCAAACTCTCTCTCTCAGTTAAAGACAGTTGTCATAGACACACCCATGTAGACGTCAAACACACGCAAGTACACAGAGAGAGTTTCAGCAGCTCACCGTTGTTAACCGATCCGACCCAGTACTCCCCGACAGGGACACACTGTTTCTCCGTGACACTTAGGGTGATGTTCAACAGGGTCGACGCCTGCTGCAGTCGCATTGTGTAGATCTTCGCCTGCAGTGTCTCGCTCCCAGCTCCAATTGTCATATCAAACACCTGCTTGGCTGCATCTGAAACATATACCAACAAGAGTGAGTGAGTGAGTTTGGTTTTATGCCGCTTTTAGCAATATTCCAGCAACATCACGGCGGGGGACACCAGAAATGGCCTTCACGCATTGTACCCATGTGGGGAGTCGAACCCCGGTCTTCAGCGTGACGAGTGGATGGTTTAAACACTGGGTTACCCTACCGCGCCATCAACAGAGGAGCCCAGTCTGGTTGGTCTCCTTGCATGACAAATTTAGGATTCATTCTTATCCAGTGAGTTCTTCATGATCAGCCCGGGTTCGAATCCCCACATGGGTACAATGTGTAAAGCCCATTTCTGGTGTCCCCCGCCGTGATGTTGTTCGAATATTGCTAAAAGCGGCGTAAAACCAAAACTCAGTCAGTCAGTCAGTCATGATCAGAAATGGGCGTTTGTGTGAGTGAGCTGGTCGCTTTGTCAGTATATATAAGGGCGAGATTAAGAAACAGATAAATGAAAGAACAGGATGAAGGAACGAAAGAGGAAGGGAGACTGAAGAGAGGATGGAACAATGAAGAAGATGAAGAAATGAAGCGGCCGAAAGAGATGATAGAATAATATAAGAAAAGAAATAAAGCGGGTGAAGAAATGAGTGAGTGAGTTGGGTTTAACGCCGCTTTATGCAACATTACAGCAATATAACGGCGGGGAACACCAGAAATGGGCTCCACACATTGTACCCACGTGGGGAATCGAACCCGGGTCTTCGGCGTGACAAGCAAACGCTTAAACCACTAGACTACCCCACCGCCCCGGTGAAGAAATGAAGGGAAAAACAGGTGAAGGATTAAAGAACATGAAGGAATGAAGAGAATAGAGGAATGACGAAACGAAAGGATGATGCAATAAAGGGATGAATGAAAGAAGAGTTAAATAAATATGGAGGCTGAAAGTTTGAAGAAAGTGAATACTTAATTGATTGATTGAGTTTAGTATTACGCCGCACTCAGCAATATTACAGCTACGGCGGCGGTCTGTAAATTATACATTGAGTCTGGACCAGACAATCCAGTGATCAACAACATGAGCATCGATCTACACAATGGGGATACGATGATATGTGTCAACCAGGTCAATGAGCCTGACCATCCGATCCCGTTAGTAGCCTCTTACAGAAGATGAATAACTAAGAAGGGTGTACAAATGAAGTGGACAAAGGGAGGAAAAAATGAAGGAATGAACAGAGTGAAGGAATATATAGTTGAAGGAATGAAGAGGATGAAAGAGAAATGAGGGCGAAGAATTGAAGAAATGAAGAATGTAACAGGACAAAGGGCACGAAGGAATGAAGAAGACCTACCAGGCACACATCCATTGTTGAAAAGCGCAGTAGGTTTAGTCTTCTGGCAAATCCTTTTCAACACATCAATAACATACATGGTATTCTGTAACAGAGTGAGTGAGTTAGGTTCACGACCATGTTTGCAGCACTGTTTGCATGTGATAGTTTTGTATATACTCACAAACACATTTAATCGGTTAAAAAAATGTTTGACTTTTTAGAAAATTATATTTGTTCAAATTATGTCCAAGCAAAAAGCTCAACTCCTTTTTTCAAACTGTCAGTCCCAAGGAGTTCATAAAACATTTCTAATTCCGTTAATTTTCAAATTTACTGTTTAACAAATGTGTATGTGTAATGCCATTTTAACTGAAGAATATTTTATGGTGGGTTTCTGACCGTATTGAAGTCTCGAATCAGCTTGGTGGAGGACATTCCTGCCGCCGTGGTACTGTTGGTGTAGGTGAATACTCGACGGCCGACGGCGTCGAAGGCTATCTTGGTTACAATCTGAAACAGAAGGTAGATGAATTTGAGGGTTCTGGCTTATGGTAAGACTGCTTTACACCCAGTTGGTGAAATAGCCACTGGCCCGCTAGCCCATGGCTAGTAAATATCCAGTCGGACCAGTAAATCTCCACAGTCAGTCGCTCAACTGGCTAGTGAATTTTCATGGGATCATTTTGTAAATACATCACTCTCTCCGACTTGTTAAGTTATAATTGACTTTTAAATCATGCAAGATTATGGCCAAACAAAAAATGTTCATCACATTAGCAGCCTAATGATGAAACCCCGTGCCATGCTATCTTATTCTCATCTATTTTTGTAATCTTTTGCTAAGGTTCCGCCCTCAAATTTCTTTCTAGTGATATATTATGTGGGCTAGTAACTTTCAAGCATAGCTAGCCCGACTGGCTAGCAAAATTTGGAAACTATTTCGTTCACTGTTCACGCCTATGTAATATGGTAACTGTGCAAGCGTAAGTTCTTGTAGGAAACCTGCTCCACAGTGCTTAATAACCCAGTAATACGGTAACAATGCTTCCTACACATGTAATACGGTAACATTGCTTCACACCTATGAGTTAGTGAGTTTAGTTTCACGCCGCTTTTAGCAATATTCTAGCAATGTCTCGGCGGGGGACATCAGAAATGGGCTTCACGCTTTAACCACTAATTCTACCCCACTTATGACATACGGTAACAATGTTTCACGCCTATGGGTAAGGGACCGATCATAATTTATGGATAGAGGGGGTGATGATGATTTTTATGGAGAAGCAAGTACAATTTGAATGACCCCCCCCCCCCCTCCGCCTAATATTTTGTTAAAAGTAAGTGAACCCCCTGCATGTCATGTACAAAATCAATGACCACCCCACCCCTCCCTTCCAATAATTTCTAAGTATGTCTTTGTAATATTTCTATGTACAAAACTGCTAAACCCTCTAGTACTTGTGCAAAAATTGATGACCCCTCCACCTCCCCACAACAATATGGGTACCCCGCGCGCGCGCTTAAAATCATCCCCCCAACCATAAATTATGAACGGTTCCTAACAGCGCCATACACCTATGTAATACGGTCACAGCGCATCGTGTCTATGCAATACGGTAACAGCACATCGTGGCTATGTAAAACGGTAACAGTACTTCCTCACGTATGTAATACGGTAACAGAGCATCACACCTATGCAATACGGTAACAGCGCATCGTGGTTATGTAATACGGTAACAGTGCTTCACACCTATGTATTACGGTAACAGCGCATCGTGGCTATATAATACGGTAACAGTACTTCGCACGTATGTAATACGGTAACAGTGCATCACACCTATGTAATACGGTAACAGCGCATCGTGGCTATGTAATACGGTAACAGTGCTTCACACCTATGTAATACGGTAACAGCGCATCGTGGCTATGTAATACGGTAACAGTGCTTCACACCTATGTAATGGTACCAGCGCATCGTGGCTATGTAATACGGTAACAGGGCATCGTGGCTATGCAATGCGGTAACAGCGCATCGTGGCTATGTAAGGCGGTAACAAACGATCCATATCAACGTTGAGGCAGTATTTCACAAGAATGTAATACTTCAACAGTCAACACATTTCAACCCAACTGCCATTACTACAGGTTTTCACGTGATCAACCAGGGCATGAATCAACACTGGAAATTTCGCAAATGCGATGAATAGAATTGAAGTCCCCATTTCCGTAACCTTGGCCTAGATTTCCAAGCCACGCGATATCATGACTGTGCAGTTAGACCCGTATAACAGCAGTGTATGGTGTAAGAGCTTATAGGTTTGGATTACGCATTGTCACAACGAAATCATTTGTGACTCGGAGAACTTGTGTCAGAACTGGGTTGGTGTGCGTATGTATTGTGCGTGTGCGCGCGCGTGCGCGCGCGTGTGTGTGTGTGTGTTGTGTGTGTGTGGGTGGGTGGGTGCTTAGAAGCGTTTTTTTTGTATGGGGTAGCTAGATATTAATGAGCTACAGTTGCAAAACAAGATTTATTTGAATTGAACTATGATATTGAGTGAGTGAGTGAGTTTTTAGTTTTACGCCGCTTTTAGCAATATTCCAGCAATATCACGGCGGGGGACACCAGAAATGGGCTTAACACATTGTGCCCATGTGGGGAATCGAACCCTGGTCTTCGGCGTGACGAGCCAACGCTTTAACCACTAGGCTACCCCACCGCCCCGAACTATGATATTGGACAAAATACATGTATGAACCCAAAATTATACCTTTTACATCTTCACACAAGAAAACATGCATCAATGAAGTCAACGAGTTTTACCACCCGATCCCGTCTGTCACATCTTACATGCATGGGTGGGTGAAGATCGATTCCATCCCGGGTTCTGTCGGTCAGTAACAGTAATCATAATAATCATAAACTGACTACAACATATCAGAGCTTCTCTTCAAATCAAAACCTGCACACACAGACATCTACATTATGAATCACGTTTCACTTATTTAGTACACTTAAATATACGAATATTTACGGAACTACCCGAAGCATGTCGGACATATACCTGCACCGCTTGTCCTTGGCCGCCTGCGTTGACACCGCCGATTCCACCCTGAAAACCTTCCCACTGTTTGGGAAAGCAGCAGTTCTTCGCTGTCCGTAGCTGGGCCAAGGCCCTGGGGTGGTAGAGCACTACGGCTAGGGTACAGATGAGGGCGAGGCGAGACACCATGATGTTTTCGTCTGCTCGTTACCGATCGAATGAAGGAAGGGGTCTACTGTCACGTGTTTGTTTAGTTTACCTCACGGGTGTTTTCGGTTAGATGATTGGATTCGGGTAATACGAGCTTCTAGTGCTTTGAATATTTTTCCTTGTGTTCAGTTGAAACCATGACATATTTTAGAATATCTGTGTTCATTATTGCAGCATTATAATACTAAACGTTTGATTGCGTTCTTTCAAATGTAACTGTGCTCTAGTACCGATTGAGAATTTGTGTCAGTTGTCAGGTAACCGTTGTTGTTGTAATCTAACCTAACAATCCACGAGTCACAAGTTGACCCGTCAGAGCTCCGAATAGGTTTAACCTGTCTACTCCCATTTGTGAGAACTCCCAATTGTGAGACTCCCAGTTATGAGACAGGGGAGTAGGTAATTAACAAAGAAAACACACCATACTCCCCTGTCTGATAGAATGGATTAACCCTAGCTAATTACTGATTTGCGATGTAAATGAATCTTGTGGAGGTAACTAAATGAAACTTACTTTATTTATATGTACTTAAAAATATATCTTATGCAAAAGTAAATATCGATGACGTCACATCCTCCATTTCATTTTGTATTTTATGTTGTATGGGAGCGGTGTTAACATAAGCAGTAATGCTTGTTCACCAATCCCAATTTATTTTCATAAATAATAAAATATGTTTAAACAAAAATGACTTTCAAACTTCATAATAGTCAATAAAAATGTGTTATCATAATTAAATATTCTTCTGAATAAATAAAATATTCAATGAACTATTTCTTCTGTGTAAATATAATCTTTGATAATCTATTTCATTAATCAATGATCTATGAACTATGCCTACTGTGTGTACTGGGTTAACTGGGCTGATCCCACTTTCATTGTAGGGATGTGGTAACACCACCTATGTGCACTGAACCATTAATTAATGTGTCTCACAACTGGGAGTTCTCACAAATGGGAGGACACTGGTTTAACCTGCCCCGCACAGAAAAGAGTCTGATGGGACATATATTTAAGATGTTTTAGTTGTACATGCTAGTTTTATATTAATATCTGTGATCCAGCTAGGGTCCATGCAGGAACCAAATGTACTCTAAGTCCCCATGGTCCCTAGTATGGGGATCTACCTTCAGTTGTTGGCAATCTATAGCCTTTCATTTTTAGTTAAAATGTTTCAGATTTAATTACTAGTTTTAAATGGATATGTGTCATACACTAGTAGTTTTACTGGTCTTCGTCAACAGGCTTTGAATTTCTAAAGTTACTGATCTATAATTAACTCATTTATTGTTCTCGTCACGATATGGCGGAAATATTGCCGATGTGACGATACATATTAACTCACTCACTCACTTTGATAGTAAGAGTATGTATTACTTGTCTTGGTTTTTCACAACACCGGAATTTGGTTATTGTTAACCATTACCATACATAACAGGGTGGACTACACGTGCCTGTAAACAATTGGTTATTCAACCGAGCACCTTGTCGTAATAGGGATAACTGTACTCATATGGAAATTGCCATCCATTCAATTATCACCTTTTGTATCACTTCAAAACGCCTTTGAGACCCGTGAAGGTCCGGGTTAGAATGTGCCTTCAGTAACCCATGCTTGTCGTAAGAGGGGACTAACGGGATCGGGTGGTCAGGCTCGCTGACTTGGTTGACACATGGCATCGGTTCCCAATTACGCAGATCGCTGCTCATGCTGTTGATCACTGGATTGTCTGGTCCAGACTCGATTATTACAGACCACCGCCATATAGCTGGAATATTGCTGTGTGCGGCGTAAAACTAAACTCATTCACTCACTCAAAACGCCTTTGGAAGAACCGTCACTGAATCATTGCTGTACTGCGTTCGCTCGTCACGCCGAAGACCCGGGTTCAATTCCTCACATGGGTTCAATGTGTTTAGAGACCATTTCCGGTGTCCCCCGCCGTAATATTGCTGGAATATTGCTAAATGCGGCGTAAAACTAAACTCAATCAGAATCATATGTTGGGATGGGGTGGTCAGGCTCGCTGACTTTGTTGATACACGTCATCGGTTCCAAATAGCGTAGATCGATGCTCATGCTGTTGATCAGCGGATTGTCTGGCCCAGACTCGAATATTTACCTACCGCCGCCATATAGCTGGAATACTGGTGAGTGCGGCGTAAAACAAAACTTACTCACTTTAGCATTGCCGGAGGGCAGAGCGGAAAGGAAATTGATACAGTTCTGAGACTATAAGACAGACTAGGGTATAGTCCTCGCAAACAAACATAAGCAGGACATACTGGGATTCGAACCCTCGATCACAGGTTTCCGTCTTTCCGAGACAAGCGTGTCCATTCATTTCTTGGTTCAATCGTGACGCCATTTCAAGTAGTATACGAGCTGCACCCCTTCTGATCCAAACGTGATATCCAATCAGATCTTGGTTTCGTCATGATGGCTGCCAGGGTAAACAGGAAATGATTTGCGTGTCGTCCCTGACAGACAAACAAAACATATTATCCTCACAACCATTTCCAAGACAACGACGCGCTGTCAATTCCGAAGGTAAAAACAAGGTGTTGTTTCTGCTGATACGTCAGAAAATGCTGAACAAGATCATCTTGCTAATGAATATGTGTAAATGTATGTCATAGGTCACAATATTTATTGATTCGACAAGCGAACCCACGCAACGGACATCGGGTATTATGAGGGGAGCTAACTCTGCTTGGCTTGAGCCGCTTGGGCGGCCTTGGCGAGTCTGGTGATTTCAGCGACCTCCGCCTGAAGAGCACATTTCAGGGCATCGTCTTGGTGGCCCTCTTCGCACGACTTGCAGGATTTGGTAACCGTGTTTTCGCAGACTTCAGCCTTGCAACGCTCCTCGGCAATGTCTGGAAATGAGATTGTTGTTGAGACGTATGTGGACGAGTGTCCCCTTCACATTCAGTTGGGTGCCAATAAATGGTACGGGCGTGGCCATCGACGTCGTAATAGCGTCAAGATCGTGTTTGGATTGTACCCTGATTTCATAATGGACCGGGGCGGTGGGGTAGCCTAATGGTTAAAGCGTTTGCTGGTCACGCCGAGAACCCGGGTACAATTCCTCACATGGGTACAATGTGTGAAGCCCATTTCCAGTTTTCACCCGCCATGATATTGCTGGAATATTGCTAAAAGCGGGGTAAAGCCATACTCACTCACTCACTCATAATGGCCCTCCGGTGGAGACATACTAGGACACTCTGGCTCCTCACGTGTAGGTTTACACCGCTTATACCCACATTCCAGCAAAATCACGGCGTGGAACTAGGAGAATGGGTTTTACAAACTGTACCCAAGAGGGGAATCGAACCCGGACCATAAATCGGAAGAGTGAATGCTGTAAGTAAGTGGTTTATCGCCGATATTCCAGGCGCCTCTTACGACAAGCACGTGTTGCTGAAGACCAGTTATAAGCCACATACCAAAGAACTGGGATCGATTCCTCACAAGGGTAAGATATATGAGGCCATACATCCATAAATTATCTTACCTTTCTTTTATGATTCCAGGGCGATGGGGTAGCCTAGTGGTTAAAGCGTTCGCTCGCCACGCCGAAGACCCTTGTTCGATTTCCCACATGGGTACAATGTGTGAAGCCCATTTCTGGTCCCCCACCAGGGTACTGTTGGAATATTGCTGAAAGCGGCGTAAAACCATACTCATTCATACTCTGAAGGATGTTTGAGGGTGGGTGACTTACGTTTGATGAGGAATCTCTTTCCAAAGTGTAGACTGCATTTGTGAATGTTGTAATTAAGAACAAGCGGTGTTCCATCAAGCGGTATCTGAAACATACACACAGAATCAAATTTGGTCAATATTTGTTATTCCATACACGAAAAAGAGCCTGCACATGAGATGGCTGTCGATTTCAGTTCTACCGTTGTTATGATTAATAAACTGCCACAGTACTGTTATGTCCGCCTTTAGAGCGTGAGGTTGGGTGCGAACCTCTGGTCATGTTACACAAGAAATGGTGTGTATTTCTGATCCTAAATTCAAAGAATGTTTTTGATTGCTGATACTCACTTCCGGACCAGACAATCCAGTTATCAACAGCACGAGTATCGATCTACGGAAATAGGATACGATGACATTTGACCACTCGATCCCCTTAGTCGTCTCTTACGACAAGCATGGGTTACTGAAGATCAATTCTAACCCGGATCTTCACGAGTACACTGATTAAGCACCAGTACAGCTCATTGTACGAGTACAAAAGGTGTATGGTACACGCGCCTATGTGCATGTATTAAGTTCAATACTTTCTAAGCTTACACGCTGCATTTGGAACATGTACAATTTAGCAGCGTTTAGAATAACCAATCGATTTTACCTTGAATTGCCGGTAATTTCCTTTGACGTAGTAAATATACACCTCCATAGAATGCATTTGTCGTACTTACAGTGCCAGACTTGCCATTGAAGAAAGCAGCCACGTTTCCAACGAACGAGCTGATGAGTTTGTCGAGGCCGAGTTTGTCCACCAGAAGACTGGACAAGGCTGGTTCAACAGCGGCCAGCACATTCGAGAGCTGTCTCTTGGCGTGCTCGCCGTGGACAACCACCAACACGGACAGGATCAGGGCAACTAGGGAAGGGAAGGAATTATGGAATCAACAGACGTAAGCCACTTATAAGTCGTCGACATCGACACAATCAGGGCATCTGGGAAAGGGAAAGAATGGAAACAACTGACGTGACCCACTAGTTGTGGACATCGACGCAATCAGGGCATCTGGGAAAGGGAAAGAATGGAAACAACTGACGAAACCCACTAGTTGTGGACATCGACGCAATCAGGGCATCTGGGAAAGGGAAAGAATGGAATCAGCTGATGTAACCCACCAACAAGTGGACATCGACGCAATCAGGGCATCTGGGAAAGGGAAAGAATGGAATCAGCTGATGTAACCCACCAACAAGTGGACATCGACGCAATCAGAGCATCTGGGAAAGGGAAAGAATGGAATCAGCTGACGTGACCCACTAATTGTGGACATCGACGCAATCAGGGCATCTGGGAAAGGGAAAGAATGGAATCAGCTGACGTAACCCACCAACAAGTCGACATCGACGCAATCAGGGCCGACCGGAGATAATATAATCAACATAAAATAAACTGGGAAAGAATTTAATCAACAAAGTAGTCGTGATGTAATCAACACAGACAATCAACACACTAATAGTTTACATCGTCGACACAATAGTAGTCCAGAGATAATGTAATCAACACAGACAATCAACACACTAATAGTTTACATCGTCGACACAATAAGGGCCGACCAGAGATAAATGTAATCAACAGAATAATACAAAAAACTAGTCATGGACATCAACACAATCAGGG